GATAAAACTTGCAGGAACGTTGGCTCCAGGTTCTCGGAGAAGAAAGCCATTAACCCTCGGAGACAGACGTGGTTGGGCTCTGGCTCTAAGATTGCTGCTCGTCTGGGGGTGCAGGCTGGTTCTTACAGGAGGAGAAGGAACTCTCCAGCCTTTCCTCTTGATCGCGATGGGTTTACTTGCTCCAACTTTGGGGAAAGTGCCGTGCGTTCCTCTTTCTCGAAAGCTGTTAACTGCTTTGTACAGGAAAGGGGCTTTGACAAGGATCAATTTTTATTGCACGGCAAAGACTCGCATTTTCCAAATGCTTAAGGATATAGCCCACAGCAGTAAGCGTCTTTGCTTGGATTTGAACAGTGTTACGTTGTTTATGTGCAAGAACCACAAAGGTTGTTTGAAATCATTGCGGGGCTTATTGCACGGTTGTGCGCTGGCACCAAAAATTCAAGATGAAATAGAATTGCGTTGAGTTTCTTATCAACAAAGGGCCATTATTTGTAGATTGTAAGTGAAGCCAGACATGAACGCTGGAGGAAGGTGTAATGTCAGCTTTTAGCGCTTAAGGTTATTAAGTTTGTTGTTGTTGTTTGGGGGTTTGGGGGTTGTTTGTTTGGGTTTGTTTTGGTTTGAGTGGTGCCCCCCCCCCCAATGACTGCTTTCTAGGGAATACAGATTGGAGCTGGCACAAAGCTGACCGGGGGTAAAGTAGTAGAGCAGGCGAGCTGCAAAGAAAAATGTCAAATAATTATCATGATTAATACAGGAAAGTTCAGCGCGAAAATGGGCACCGGAGTATTTGCATGGTGCAGTGAAAGACAACTGTGATATATAAATAGACAAGGACTATAAATATTGAATTTCACCTTGTATTTTAAAGTTTAATAGACTCATCTAAATATCAAAACCTGTAGTGTTCTGTGGGCCACTGCGGAGTTGACATCTGCAGTATTACCAAAAGAGGGAAAGAAAAAAAAACCAAACCCCAACAAAACCCAACCACAACACCAGGACATCTCCCAAACTCCAGCCTGGAAAACTGGGAGGACTTCTCGGCGCAGTTCTCTAGCTCTCCCAGCTAATTATAGTGCTTTACACCGAGCCGCTCTTGAGATAAGTGCCACTGTTTTCTTCCCTAGCACCGTGGAGTTATACTCCAGGGCTTAAATAAACATCCCCCAGCGCAACCAGCGCAGGAGGCAGAGGGAGCAACACCAAACGCTGCGTGCAGACCTTTGTGTAAACACCGGGTGGCTTTTCTTTCCCAAACAATGCGATAGCCCGTCAGCACGTCGCAGAGAAGGAAGCTGCTCGTAAATAGTAGCTAAAAGTATCATTATATCCTGGCAGCACCGGGGGAGCAGGAGGAATAGAGGAGCGTTTCTGTAAAAGGAACCCAATGGCTAAGTTATTAATATTCCCAGAAAGAAGGAGGGTTATTAGCATTTCAGGTGAGGAAAGAAAAAGCACTTTCTTCCCCACCAAAAATCAATACAGAATTCAAACCCGATTATTAATGTCATTGGATTCCCTTTCTTTATACGTTTCTCCCGGCTACAGATACTGAGCTGTCAGGATAATTTGCATGTACCGTATCTGGTATCTCTTATTTGCAAACACTCTAAAACGCCATAAAACGCCGCTCGTCGTAGTCTAACTCAATCCGAGAACTAGTATTTTCATCTGTAAATTAAAGCAATTACGCAGCAGATATTATATTATGTGTACTGTGGTCTCCAGATAGTCATCAATCACCCTCAATCGAGCTGTCAGTGTGGGCAGATTCGTTTCTGGGAGGCAGTCTTCCAGCTGGGGAGAAGAAGAGAACATCATCATTAATTAGAGTGTGACCCTGGGGCTATTCACATGTCTGAACCCAGGAATCTCTCTGAGCAAGTCTGCACACCACGGGTGCAGCCTTCAAACTGCACCAGCAAGCCGAGCTTCAGCCTCGGAGCTGACTCCTCCGCTTCCTC